TCTGGCCAGAAATTCCTCCCGACTCCACAGGGGGTTAAAATGCGGGAGTCTGAGTTTTTACGACTCCCGAAAATTTATTATATATTTATTAATTTTTAAAAATCTTTTATTTTGTAGTAATTCATTTATTTTAAATACAAAATACATATTTAATAAATTAAATTGGTGTAGTGTTCTTTGTAGTATTTGTGTTTAGTAGTAAAATTATTTTGACCCAATTGAATTTAAATATTTTGGATCATTCCTTTATCATCCCTGCTCTAAATAAGTACTTGATTTTTCTGAATGAACCAGACTAATTCATCAAAGTTCATATTTTTCTTTCTGAACAAGGGGCTGAAGTAGCGCTAGATCGCACACTTTTTAATTGAATTAACTATTCTGGAAGGGTAAAATTGAAGTGCAAATGCTGTCGAATATATGTAGATGTAGAATTTTATCGCCCGATTTCTCCTCTTATTAAATATTTAAAAATTAATTTTTTATACAAATAAATATTAAAAATACTAACTATGAAAGCGGTTTTTTTAAAGCTCCGATGATCCATAAAACAGACAAGTGTAAATAACAAGATGAATTTATTACCAAAAGTTAGGTACAAACATTGTTATTTTTCGGCATAATCACCGTGAAGATTGGGGCATTTGTCATATCTGTGGACGAGTTTTTCCATCCCCTTATCATATAATGTTTCCCAATTGTCAATTGGCACTCCAAGTGTGAAACTTATTTACCATATTCCAGCTTCCGTTACAAGGTCTGATGTCTTCCATCGTACGTAACTATTGGAGGGTCCAATCTGCCTGTACACTTGAAAAGAAATTGTAAGTACAAACTTCCTAGAGAATTTTAATGCTATGATGCAAGACTTTCAACCAGAGTGTTTGATGTCATTGAATCTTTCTGCAGGAGGTCGAGCCTTGTAGCTAATCATTTCTGAAGTTTGTCAATTTATTAGTGCTGACCTAAAATATTGCACACTTCCAATGGTAAATAGACATCTTTGTTATTATTTCCCACATTTAAACAAGGAAAATTAGGATATATTAATGGTTTATATTGGAGACCGAAAATATTCTGATACCAAATAAAGAGCTTCCTTATTAATTCTTCTCATAAAAATGTTAGCATTATCTCTTGTTATGTGTCTAACTTTGTACTGTATTTTCGTTTACAAGGGAAAGCGGTTACTCCAACTTTTAAATTTATTCTTTTTCTTAGAGTTTTTCTTTCAGTATCTGAGACATCTCATCTGTCCTGCAGCCAACTTAACGTTTTCGTTAAGTTTTCGTAAACATAAACTCAACGGAGCAGCTTCTATAAAAATGCCGTTGCCGATTTATCAATGTTTAACATGGGCGTCCATTGACACAGCTGCATGCTTTGATGATGACCAAACCAAGTTTCCCTCCACCTAATAGAGGAACTTCATCCACGTGAGGCTTTATGAAAAAAGTTCTAACTGGAATCAAATGTAGAGCAGAACCGTGTCTTAGTATGGTCTCTGACAATCATTCCCATAATAATACTTTCACTGCATCTATCTATTAACAACTCATGTAATGGTTCTAAACTAATTGAATTGTCATCTAACCTTTTATTTTTATGTAAGGGATGACGATGGAGGTAGAGGACGCGAACGAGGTCGAGGTCATGAACCTCAGTATTACATCCCATTTAGAGGCAGAAAAGAGTCACGTCCCCCAGCAACAAGACAAGAGCTGTCTATCCTGTTAATATATAAAATAATTAAACCTGTCATCCTTTTTTTCGGGATTAAAAATCAATCAATCTTAGCCCTTACAGAAAATATTTTTGTGTCTTATCGGTAACGGTTTTCAGGTGTACAAGTTTTTCGTGCCATCAAATACTGGTCTAATATTTCGAAATACAGCAATTTCACGAATAATAATTTTTTCAATAACTCTTCTCTTCAATTTAGTGTTTTGACATTATCCTTTTATGTGTAGTTTTACTTTCAATACCACTCTTCTACTGAGCAGAAAATTTTGAATTTCCACATCATAATGATACAATTCTCCGTGTAGTAATATCGATTGGAAAATAATTCGCTAGTAAATTCATCTTTTTACCCTTAATGCCAATGTCCGGTCTTTTAGCAAAGTTATGCTTTGTAGATCCAGTATAGGTTCTCAAAACCCAGTCTCTTCATTGCAGTCGAAATAATATCTACAGTACTGCACTTTTTGACTGAGATACAGAAGCAAGAGGCATGGCTGAACACGACTGCCCACCTATGTTCGATCAGAGCGATACCTAAAAATCAATATATTTTACTAAATTACACTTGCAAATATAATATTTTTACAACGATTATCTTGTAACTTACCTTTATATAAGTTACAAGATAATTGTAACTTATATATAAACTTACCTCAACAGGTGTAATTCTTGCAGCTGCTCTACTGGTCGTTGCTCTTTAATCTTCTGCTGGTATCAAGAATGTAATTGTTGTCTACGTCAAAATTCTCCACCATGTTGAAAATCATGAAACTGAGCTCCACCTTGCATACATGAATATTATTTGGGAATTAGAGCAAACAGATTATTCATATAAATTTTAAATTACGTTACGTTAACATAAAACGTACAACTATTTTAAAGCAAGAGTATGGATGTTTTAGGGCAAAACATTTTTATATCATTCAGAACTAACTGGCATAAGTATGCATTTATAACCTATCAACTTATTTTTACATCTGTTAAATTACTTATGTTCTTGCTACACTCACCAAGAGCAGTTCTATTTGCTGCTGTACTAGTTGGATCTTTCATAGTGTCTTGATGCTGGGGGACGTGACTCTTCTGCCTCTAAGTGGGATGTCATACTAAGGTTCGTAACCTCTACCTTGACCTCGTTCGCATCTTCTACCTCCATCGCCATCTCCTACATAAAAATATTACTTTTTATATAAACGTAAAACAAATTTATTGGCACTTCTACCAAAAATACTGATGCGGTAGTTTAACATTTTTCAAGCTGAAATAATTATACGTTAATCACTTACGATTTAAAAACAGCAATATTAAGTCGCAAAGAATAAAAATAAAAATAGTAAACTATATTTGCGTACAAATATTAGTCAATACTTTAATTATGGCTCTCTGGAGTTCTTCCAAATTAAAAACTTTCCTCACATTCTACCTTTCTTCTACTTTCTAATCTTCCGCTCGACAGTTCCATTAAAACATCTATTCATGCAAAATTTCAATAAAAAGAGGCCTAAAATAAGCATAGAACAACAATTATAATAAATTTTAGTAAAAACGTTTTTAATTATTCATATTCCTTCAGTTTATTTGTTCCTACAAGTTACAACAGTAGAGTAATTATTAATAATAATTTTCAAAAAGATTTCATATTATTTTCCTATAATTTTTTTTAAAATCATCATCAAGTTTTAATTTTAGGAGTTTATTCTAATTGTTTATGTATAGGAAAGATGCCGTACTTTTATTATTAGTATTCAATCAGCAATTCTAACAAATCAAAGGCTTTTGATGACGATACAAAAATTTATCAACTCGTTTCATTATTGCAGATGCATTTCGCATGCGATGTAAAATTTCCATTCCTCTTCAGTGCCGAGTCTACACAAAATCGGTATTTTACATATTAACTTAATATTACAAATTCCCGATAAAAAAATCGTATAACTACTCAATTTAAAAATCTCTAAATTTCAATTCAAATACATCAAAACTACAGAACAAACTGTTTACTGACACATGTCTAGAAATCAAACCATTATAAACAAACGCTATGTAAAACAATTTTCATAAAAATTCACTATTACTGCAATATAATTACTTATAATTAGCGTATATTTTAAAATTTAACATAAATATCTCTATATCTTCCTCACTTTTCAACCAACCTTTACCCACCAAAATTTGGTAGCTTTCATCTCCGTAACACAAATCTCTACGAAATTTCAGAAAATCTCGACAAAAAGGCACAGAAATTAGAGCTTCAAATAGAGTGAACGAATGCATACTTCTCACACACTCACACATATAAATACAAAAAAAGACTAATTTCTTTGCGTTTTTCCATGTTTCAAGCTCATGATTCCAAAAACAAAGACTTTGAAGGGTAATTTTTTTGACAGATTACATTTACTTTCCTAGCTGTTATGTATTAATATAACAGAGGAAAGTATGGTAACGTAAAACAACAAATACAAAACAGAAAATATTTTACAATTCCATATATAAAATACTCAATTCAAGTTCTTATTGTACAAACCATTTAGTTCCTTACAATGGTATTGAAGAATAACAAAACTGAACTTATTACATTTTAACAAATTAGCTTAGTACTATAGGAGGTGTTCCAATCTTCACAGTTGCTGGCGTCAAATTTTTTACATATCACTCAAGATTTGTATAATTGCTAACAATTGAAGTGCTTAAGATTATTCATTTTAATCGAATAAGATTAACAATAGTAGTAGAATTTAAGTTAATCTCCGGAAGTGAACTAAATCCAGGTCCGTTACAAAAAACGCCAACAAAGAGGTAGGCCACATCAAAATCGTCAGAAGCAATTAACTACTAACGCAAATCTATTGGAATTGGAGACAAACCTTATTACTGATTGCACAGAAATAAGTGCTGAACCTCAAACTGAAGCAGGCAAGAAATTTAATTTAAACACTCCGTTAGACATAATAATATCTACGTGTGACCGCAGGGTCGACACCTCTTTGATGCCACGCCAGGACTGACACTACCGTGTCTTCCGGACACGGAAATTGTGATGACAGTTACGTTAGTTTTCGCGCGAGCGGTTGCATTTGCAGGCTTTCGGACTCGGAATGGAGGCGGATGAAGACAACAGGAAGAAGTACACTCCACAAAGTTATCATTTAAAGTATCGATTAATAAACTGGTATTATTTATTTACAAGCTATATACAGATGCTTAGCGGATGCTAAAAATATGACATAAAAGAGTGAACCTTATTACCAAGAGCGTGACCCTGATGATCTGGTACTAATAGTCGCAACAAGAGTAACTTTACAACGCAAACTTGACATGATAAACAACTATCTGAATTCTCTGATGCATTAATCGACATGTATAAAGTCAAAAATACTCATATTTAGAAATATTATCAAACCAAGAGAAATTTTTCTTAAATGGGCAACCTCTTGTATTAGTAAATAATATGAAATATTTAGGAATAACCTTTAACTGAAGTTAAAATTTTCATCTACTGTACATTTGAAAGAGCTTACTACTAAAATTAATTTACTTATTGATAATGCTATTTATGTTCAACACTAAAAATAACGAATTTAAAAAACTACAGATGAAAACATTTAATACGTTAAATTAATAATTCCTTCAATTTTCTAGAAACAGGCCTGACATATCCGACGATCCCGATCGCCGGAAATGAAGTAGGCGATTCTTTACAGGGCTATATCTCGTAAAGGGTCGCGCGCAGGGGTATGGTTCCTTTGACTTTTACGTTCGCACGGAGGGGTCTTCAATTGGGGGGGTCGCCGACCCGCTCATAGCCCTCCGAAAATTGTTCTACGGGTCACATGACCGCCTGTTAGCCACAATTCACCCTGCGAATATCTCGCAAAGGGTCGCGCGTAGGGGGTGGTTCATTAGACATTTATTGTTCGCACGGGGGAGGGCTACCCTTTCGGGGTGTTGACCTACTCATTCGGAGGGTAAATCTTACCCCGTGTTTCCCCGAAAATAAGACGTGTCTTATATTAATTTTTGCTCTCAAAGATGCGCTAGGTATTATTTTCAGGGAATGTCTTATTTATCCATGAAGAAGAATTCATATTTATTGTTGAAAAAAAAATTCCCACTTATACTTAAACGAGAGTGACGTATATCCGGTCGTGTCGAACTGAACTTATGACGTTCCCGTGCTGGAGTGGACTTTCTGCTCTTTCTTCTTCNTCAGTATATCACTAATGTTATTGAATCAGTTAAGAGGTCTCAAAAATTTTTAAGATTGAAAAACTATTATTGTAGTTTAGAAAAAATAATGACATCATCAATTCTTAGTTAGGCCTAATGTTTGATGTAAAACTACAATACAAAAAGTAAGTTTGTTTTTAAGGAACTTAAATGATCTGTTAGTTATACCTGTTGCCTCTAACTCAAACTCGTGGAAGAGCCACTTTTAGTTTTGATGGAACTTTGAGGCAGATATACATTAATAATGGACGAAAAATATATTTATAACCTTTCCGAGCTACGCCAATATAGACACATCTATATATATAAAATTACATGTCCTGATTGATTGATTGACTGACTGACTCATCATTGCCCAGAGCAAATCACTGAACCTAAAGAGGTGAAATTTGGTACACAGGTAGGGTGCATCATGAAAATGCATACTAAGAAGGAATTTTTCTAAATTCCTCCCATGGGGAGAGGGAGAGGATTAAGGTTTAACCTGAAGAACGGCTTCTACTGTGCTATTTTAGGTGTGATTTTTGCTTTTGATAGTAAGAACTTACTTTCCAAACGTACAATATTTACCAAATCATTCAAATCGTTCGCCTGAGCAATGCAGGGGTCATTTGCTAGTTAGTATATATAAATGTTATATAGTATATATCAGAAGTCTTCAACCCTTTTCTGAGAGGGGCCATGTAAGCTGTCTGGATGCCAGGTATGAAAGATACAGTCAAAGGTTATGAATTTTTTTATTTCTGAATAACAATGGACATAAATCAATGTCAAATTTACAGCTGCTGCTTTGAAACAATGTTATTAAAATTGGGGATAAATTTTGTTGGACAGTGAGGCTATGGCAATACCATGTTTAATGTTATTGAGAAATTGCTTGAATTATGATAATGATTCAAAAAATGTTTAAACAAACAGAGATGAATTATTTTAATTTTGATTTTATTTTGCATTTCATCTGCTCGAAGATTTTTGCAGAAAATTTATTTGAATAAATCTTGTTTTAAATGAGCTCAAAAGGTTTCTATTGGATGAAGTTTGGGTATATTGGTGAATTTTTATATTTTTTGATATAATTAATTTACACACTTTCAAGTACTTGCAAGATATGCTTAGTATGAAGTTGCACCATCAGGTCAAAACACTGTGTTTTTTTTGGGGTAAATTGTTTTTTCTTTGGATAATTCCCAATAGTTTCATTTTAATAGTTTTAAATAATTTTTTGTTTAACTGGCTTGGAGCTTATATTTTTTTGCAAGTACTTTGAATTTAGTTTTGACTGCTTAGGATCATTCCCTGGGTACCTTTCTGGACCAACACCATTTTTGATATTCTATCACATCTGTAGACTGTTGGTTCATTGATATGAAATCATTTTAATTTCTTTGCAGCTGTGTAAGTAAACATATCTGAATGATCTTTTAAAAACTATATTGCAATTTTTCTGACATCACTTTCATTAATTATAAGCATTATTTAATTACTATAACCTAGACATAAAATTACCTGTCTTAATAAAATTTAAATTATAAAATTTCCTAATGATTTCTTTAAATAATAACAGCCAGTTTTTTTCCCGGTTGACGTATAAATTTTTGGATACAATTTTAAACTGCTTTCAGTAAGAGATCAACTTTTGTTGCACAATTTTGTTTTACATTTTATTTTTTAATCCTAGACACATCTACTGTATTGAAACTGAAACAATTAATTGATTAAATAATTACTACTTTAATGACATGAATTAATCTGGGATCACATACAGGTTTTAAACAGGATCATTTGCATAATTTAGCAGTCTTCTGCTGATATTACATGTAGCATAATTGTCATTCCTCAAATTTGACAATTCTGAAACATCCTATAATGTTCTCTATATCTTCCAAATTTCACTGTCCTATATTGTTTAATTTAGGAGATATGATTTTGTTTACAAAACAACTTTTATCTTTCAAACTTTGCAATTGAGTGGACTGATGTGAATCAAATTCCAGGACTGGTTCTGATAGGTGTGCAGTGTGTGCGTGCATGCCCACAGGTGGCCAAAT